AACTCCGCCGCAGCGGTGGAGGCCCCGGAGGTGGAAGCTCCCGTTGGAGCCTGCAACCGCCTTTTATGTGGATGCTTATTGAACGTATCGTTTATGTCTTTCATGATTATCAGTCTAATTTACGGGTTATTTCTTATCCCACCTTTACCCGGTGTCTCAATAATCTCGGCCTCCACCAACGTGACCAGCAACTACGTTATAGAAGACCTAGATGTCAGATTCTCGGTCCAGAACAAGGCCAGAAAAGGCATGATCTTGAAGAAAATAACTCTGCAGATTTATCATGGAAAAGACGACGACGAGCGCCTCTCCTACGACGACGAACGCCTCTCCAACGACGTCGTTTTACCGCTAAATAACTTGGAGCTGCAAGGGAAGGACGACCATGAGACCGTGTGGTTCAACCTCAAGAACCTGCTTGTTCCGATCGACAAGTGGGAATCATCGGCAAACGGGAGCGTTTCGACATTGGCGGTGGGGCTTACGAGGATCGGGTTTAACGTTAGGGCTAGGGTTAGGTATAGAGGCAAGGCGTGGTCGAAGCAGGAAATCACTATGTATGCAGTATGCCGTCCAGTGAAGATAAAGTTGGATCCTGGTCATAAGTCCAACGCAACAAAAGAGACTCAGAATTTCAATGCTAGAAGCTGCGAGGGCATCGGGCTATGGAATTACCTTAAATTTTTTCCGCTCGCTATGTGGCTGAATTTCATTCTTCTTGGTTTAATTTACGTTGGAACGACACTTTGCAATCGTCATTGCGCTAAGCTTAGAGTTTTGCCTCCGCCTCGTCCCTCATCCTAATTCCTTTTTCTTCTTTAAATCGGCCATTATGGTTGTTCAACTTGTTCTACTTGGAATACCAAGATATTGATTAATGGAGATTGATTTTCTTACATATATATATATATATATATATATATATGATGAAGTAATGGAGATTGATTAGATTATTAGAATTATCTTTATTTTATATATATTTTCCACATGTACTCTTTTTAACGAAACCTCATTCTGTTCTTCCAATATCGAAGCATTTTTAATATATTCACTCATCTCCTATCCCAATTCCCATGGTTGTCCCCTCAATTGTATTTTGCCTCATAATCATTTCAGTTTAAGAATTTCAATACTTAATAATTAATGTTCTTTGTAAATTTTTAGCATATTAGTTTTATTTACGCTCGACTTCTATTATATTTAGCTCTATTATTCCATCTTAATTTATTGGACACCTCTTGATAAATCAAGCGAAATAATTGTTTTTTTTTGGGTTTTTAGGGATACTTGTGAAACAATGTTGTTAGTCATTAGTTTGTCAATGATGAAGTCTCTAATTTAGAGTTTCACATTCTGAAAATAAAACAGTCGCTACGCATTAGTTTGTCATAAGGATTCCAAGAACACAAGGTTTTTATGTTAGGTTTAATTCATAAATATGATTTTGACATCATATCTACAAATCTCACGAATCAACACGCCAAATTACCGAGAAAATAAGTGAGGAGATAGTTGATTTTCCAGTTATCACTTTCCTCAGTCAAATCTCCAGAGCTTTATTAATGGGGTGCTTTCTCTCTTGATGAGGAAGAGGAAAAATTGCCGAATGATTTGTGTATTGGGAACCATAACTTATAAGTCCTTACTTATTCAATAAGTTCCCATTAAACTTAATTGGATAAACATTGAACATCCACTCATTTATCCCTATTTTATTAGAAGTCTTATTGGGTTATCCTAATTAGACCCCTTAATTATCCTTTTTCTTAAATAGCATAATATAATATAATTGTAATATAAATATATGGCCCCCACAAAATTATTGGAATTATTGTGAAAATCCCAACATTTAAGCAAATAAAATGAGAATTTAATCTTTAAAAAAGATAATGAAGGGATGGGGCTTTACAATGAGGAAAGGAAAAAAAAAATTATTTTTAGAAGATAAAGCAAAACTAACCCACGTCCCATCAGGCCGATTTATATTCCCTGTTCCTAACCGATTTACAAATATGATTTTTCAAAATATTGCACCTTTCGGCTGTAATGTATATAAGATATGCAGTATATATCCTTTTGACTAATGGAAGTACACTTCTCAATCGTTTGCCCATAAATTTTTGGGATATCTTTAAATATTTAAATTCCAAATCAAATCCTGCAAGTTTATATCAAATCCTACAAGTCTATAATGTTTGTTATATCTTTGTTTACCGAAATAGAGATGTTCATAAACTAGAATAAATATTCATAATTTAATATTTTCTTAAGTTTTAAAAGTAGAGGAGCATTCTCTCTTGCCACTAAATTCCACGTACAAGTTGATATATCGAATATTGAGTTTAGAGTGCATTTACATTTTTTTTTTTTTTTGCATTTTCCTTTTCTTTTTTTTTCTTTCTTTAGGTATAATATACTAGTCGAAGAATATTAAATTTTTATTACCATGTTATTATTAAAAGGATATAAAAAGTTAAAAAGAAACAAAAATTAAAAAAAAAATAAGTTTTAGAACAAGTGGCCAAAAAAAAAATTAAGAACTAAAATGAAGGGGAAAAAGGGACTAAAATGAAAGAGAAAAAACCTTTAAAAAAAAAAAAAAAAAAAAACTGTAACAATTTGTTACTATTCACTCGTTTTCAATCAAAACTACGTCGTTGAGTTGAAAAAGTACTTAAATAGTACTTAGTATTCTCATTTCTTATATATAGATTACCTTTTTTTCCCTTTTTCTCTTCCTTCTCTATCTCCTTTTTTTTTTTTTTGATGAAATTCTTTCTTTCTTATATCCTATAGTTTCTACTACGCCTCACGTTTCTGTATAGTGTTCGCAAGTCGTATGACTTGGTCCCCAAATATAGGTCATAGGGGTTAGATCTCTTATGACTTGGTTATTCCGGTGATTTTATCTTATAGTAAATCAAGGAATTTAGAGAATATGTCCAAAGAAACTAAGAAGGCGGTTCATGCTGCAAGTATGTGCAAGCTTGAAAATCCTTCTTTTATGGCTATCTTATGGCCAACTTTTCTGCAACAAAACTTTGTGGTGAGTTTGTTACCACTTGAATTTTTTCTTTCAATTTTTTTTTTTTTTAATCCGCTTAAATTTTTATATGATGAGCTAATTAGCTGCTAATTTTTACAGATATGGAGGACGCGGTTCGAATTTTGTGAAAAGAATAGGCAAAGGGTGGGCTGCATTTTCGTCGGACAATAATTTGGAGGAAGGAGATGTTTGTGTTTTTTGAGATGATCACCAAGAAGAAAAACAATATTATTTTCAGAGTTTGGATATACCATGCATGCATATGAATACTCTGGATCCAAACAAAAGCGTTTCAAATTAGCAAAGTAATTTACCTAGGTTGTAATTAGTGCGGAATGTGTAATTATATAGTTTTTTAGCTTATATTTATACTTATATATATACATATATATATGATTAGTTTATCGATAAACGTTTGTCTTGTCTAGAACGTATAGCTGGGCTTTTGGTAGCCGAATGCAAGATGCAATCTGCCTAGTGTCTCATTTCTAAAAATTTCATTGTTGTTTCTCTAGGTTACAGTCATTTCTCATTTACTGCTGATTTGAATTATTGACGTCTTTTAACTGATGTCGTTTTCTAAAGTTATTAGAAAAAAAAATATTATTTTAAGAAGGTTATTTATTTATCGATAAATGAATAATTTATTCATTTATCGGTAATGAATAATTTATTAATTTATGAAAAGTTTTATGTTTTAATTACTTTTGTATATGTACCTTTTCTTTTACTAAAATTTATACATGAGTTATAAATAAAAAAGATAATGGTATGTGGTCAAAAATTAATGTCTGTACAGAGAGAATTACAAAAGTAACCATGTAAATTATAAAAAAAAAAAAATAGTTGTTGTTATGTAATTGATGTATACAGTATGTACATTTAACATGAAGGTTAATATGTACTTGGATATACAATAAATGAATTTTTCAAGATGTAGTGCATGTTTTGCAAAAACTTAAAGACGATGTTGAGTTCAATTTAGGTACAAAGAAAAAACAAATGATTTTAGATGCATATTTTGTAAAAGAGTTGAATTGAAAAAATAGAAGTTGTCAAAAAAAAAACTCTTTAATCTTATGAATTATATATGTTTTTTTTTGTCAATTATTAATTTATATTTTCATTGGGCTCTAAAGAATTTGAAAAAAAAAAAATTAGTATTTTATGCGTTTAGTGAGATTATTAATTTAATACATTGGTCTGAGTCGGGACCATAAGTTTGTATTATTTAAGCAAGATTATTAATTTATCGAACATTTTACTGTATTTAGTTCTTATTTTACGTCATTTTTTATTTTTTGTGTTGCCGTTTTCAGATATTTTAGAATGATGTCAACTTTTGGTGTTATATATATTGTCGTTATACTTTGCATATCGTCTTCCAATGTTATTGGCATTTTCAAGTTCGTTGTCCCACGGCCACCCTCATGTTGTTTGATGCTGTTGCTCTTTTTGATATTTTTAAAGGTCCCTTTTTTTTCAAAAAAAAAAAAAGTGTTTAGCTTCTATATTTTCCCGTTTTATCAAAGTTCTTTGTCGTTTTTAAGGTTCATGTCGTTTTAATAGCATGTAGTTATCCCCAACTACCAGGAGCAATTCCCTTTGATATGCATAACCATTTGTTTAAATCAATACTCATGTTAAGTAATCCCAATCTTTATATATATATATATATATATATAGGTTATTGGTTTATATTATTATCGTTTCCGATGTTGTTGATATATTGTTCAATAGTCTTTTTTGTTGTCGTTTTGCTTGTTATTTTCGTTTGAAGTTTGCGTCGTTTTTATTTCGTTGTCTTTTTCGGAAGCTGTTGTTGTCCTCTTTTAACACCACCCCCCTGTTTAATAAGTATTCGACTTGTATTCGACTTATTTCCGAAAATATTTTTAATTAGTTTTATATCTACGTCGTTTTCCGTGGTTTCTTCTCGATTTCAACACTCACTGTCGTTTCTTTCATCCATGTCATTCATATCTTCCTAGCAACGGGCAACGGGCAAATCCCACTCAATTTGCATTCCCAAATCCGAATTTTCTCTCATTCACCGACTGAACCCTAATAAGTATGAATTCGTCGGAAATCTGATAAAGTGAGCTTGTAAAAACATAATATTTTTCTTGTTTTAATCTATTCCCATGGTGCCCAATGTTAAGAATGGCGCGAATCCGGATTCTCCGGTGGCCAAACCAAAGCTTCATTTCTGCGCGACAATGTTTCAGCTCCCCATTCCTGAACATAAACTGGTAAATTTTTTTTTTTCTTTTAATTCCATGTTCTCTGTTTTTTTTTTTTTTTTTTTTTCTCTTTTGGGGTAGAATTTTTGTTTACTGTTTAATAACTGAGAAAAAGTAAATGGTTTGTGGAATAAAGAATAATCTTGTTCCCGTCTTTTTTTTTTTTTTTTTTAGTTTACGGGGGAAGAATAGGAAAGAGTAGGGATCAGTATTTTTATTGCTAAAACACCCTTGTGCACAGCTTTACTACTAGATTTTGTGTTAACGCGGGCCCCACTTAATTTGCATGGTTGATTTTGTAAACTTGTTAGTAAACACATCAATGGACGAAAAAAAGGAAACCATTCATGATAAGTAAACACGCTCTGAATCTGGTAGAAATCGTCATAGTTGTTTTTTATCATGTTATGTCTCACCATGTAATTTAACTTTGGACTTTGTTCTTGGTCATTAAATTTTCTTATTTATGTTAAGGAAAAATATCAAAATTATCCCCATATAATCGTTAAGATCACAATCCAATTAATCTAGTTAGTTGTATCTTCATCATTGAGATTTAATTGTGATTAATTAAAGCTAATGGATATCTGGTAAGTTTGATTGGACTCTAAACTTAATAATTACTCTTTACCTTGGAAATATTAAGTTTGATGAATATTTTCTGGAACTATACTGGAAAAACTATATAGCAATGCTACTATTTAAGCTAACTCAATGATGCAATTGTGATGTTCCATAACCTCATTTTATTTGTATTGTGTGGTTTTAATTCTCTTCGTTAAGATTTAATTTATTCTAGAAACAAAACCACGAGAATCATGCTTTGATATTACACCTTGATCAGATGATCCCACCAAAATCGGCAATGATATTTGGCGAGGAACTGTATGAGTCTGTTACTCTCACAGTTCCTAATGGTCAAGCTTGGCTGGTAGGACTGAAGAAAGATGGGGATCAAATTTGGCTTCATGATGGTCTGCATGAATTTCTGGACTACTACTCTGTCCAACTCTTATATAATTTGCACTTTAGATACGAAGGAAATTCGGTATTCTGTGTTTATATATGTGACGCATCAGGTTCTGAGATTGACTACCCATGTGATGGTCCAAGTAGAGGTGTCGAGCCCAACTTTGGCAAGCATAACGAGAAGGGCAATAGAGGTGATGATAGTGTCGAAATTTGGGATATCAAGCCTCCCATTTCTGATCATGGTTTGTTTGTTAATCACAAGGAAGATAGGAGAGGTGATGAGTGTGTTGAAATTTTGGATGTCAAACCTTCCATTTCTCCTGGTTCCTCTCAAGGAAATCCCTTTAGTGGAGATGTAGAGCAATGGTCTCCTAGCAAAAGACGTGATTTTCTCTGTCAACAGAAAATATGCAGGCCTAGTAAGCGTTGCAGAAATGCTGCTTCCATGGATTCTCCGCTAAATGGAGATGCCTGCCATACAAGGAGTAGAATGCTTGAAAAAGAAGGGCAGGTGAACCTAAAAGAATTGGGCAATGTCAATACTTCCGAAACAGGTAAAGCGAAAGAAAATATGAAACCTCACCCACCAAGCTTGCTGGTTAAAGATGAAGGAGATGTTGAAATGCATGTTCCTAAGAGCTTACGCTACGCTAAGTCAAGACTAGTTATATCCAAGGAAACCGAGAAGGCAGTTCATATTGCCTGTATGCACAAGCTTGAAAATCCTTCTTTTATGGTTATCTTAAGACCACATAACTTCAGTGAAAAGCATGTGGTAAGCTTTTTATGTGCAATTTTTGCTTTCGAATTTCGTAAGTTACACTTATTAATACATGCAGTAGTTAATTTCAATTCTTTTTAATTTGCTTTGCTTAGGATTTGCCCACTGAATTCGTAAAGAGGCATTTAAGCCAGTGTTCCGAAGACATGCAACTTCAGGTTCATAATGGAGAATGTAAGTGGTCGGTTCGATGCTTTTATAGAAGCAGCAGAGTCAAAGATGGTTCAAGGACAATGAAGAAAATAGGCAAAGGGTGGCGTCTATTTTCATCAGACAACAATTTGCAGGTAGGAGATGTTTGTGTTTTTGAGCTGCTCAAGAAAGAGAAGAACAATATCGTGCTGAGAGTGTGGATATATCGTGCAGCTGATTACGCAACCCGGTCTAAAAACGCATTAAAGAAAAAGTAGTAACTTGTACAAAAGTTGAAGTTGATGATGGAATTTGTTTGCATATGTGTAGCAAAATACCTGCTTCTTTTGCTTCCTGGTATGGCTAACTTTCGGATTAGTACTAAATTGTGTAGTGGATTTTGTTGCAGTAGAACGCCAAACTGCAATTGCCTTTTGTCTAGTATAGGGTTAAAAAATGTATGAAACTACAACTTCTATGTATCTATTTTGTTCTGTAAATATGTAGCTTCCCCCGTCTTTTCTATACCTGCATATGATTAGTCTTCTGAAGATGTTTATGTAGCTTCGGGTCCATTCCTTGTATATGATTAGTCTTGTTTATTATTATTATTGCTACTACTATTATTTGCTAAAATTCACCTGACCGGATATATAACATATATATATATATATATATATATATATGCTGGTCTGTAGATTTGTTTTTGGTAGGAATACATGTTATAGATTACTCGATTGCTTTGATATAGGCAAGTATAAAATAAGGTTTCGAGAGTGCTGGTTAACCTCTTTCAGAGTCTTAAATGTGGAAATTTGCATCTATTAGTCTATTACTCGATTTAGATCACGCCCCCTATGTATCCTTACCATTAGCAGATTTAGTGGACTTAGGGTGACACACTCGTCGTCAAAGAATAAGACCACCTGACTATAGAGCTTTCACTAAATATTCCTATCAATATTTGAGAAGTCTTTTAATAACACTTAACAGTGATATGCTAACATTAGTCTATCCCTTTCCGGAGTTTGTTTTTTTTTTTTAAATAAAAAAAAAGGTTGAAATATGGGTTATTTACACTAATAACTCCGCTTTAGAGCAGGACAAAGATATGTCTTTGGTGCATTTGGGTTAGGCCTCAAATGTGTCCCACAATGGGGCCCACACATGTGGGTTCCACAATGAGCAGTTTAGAGCCTGCAAGAGTGTGTTAGCATTGTCGAAATTGAGGGCAAAAGACCGTTCTTTTGCCTTTTTTGAGTTAGGTGACTTGAGCGTAAATTTTGAGTTGAAGTTGTAACTTGAGTTTGTATTTAATTGTGTACATTTGAGTTATAGTTTGAGATAAGAATCTTTTTGAGTTTGAGTTTGAGTGAGTCAAAACTTAAATTTGTATTTAGATAGTATTTTAATAAAAACTCAATGCTGATGGAAAATTTTAATAGGGTATATGGGTAGGGTTTTATTCGTCTTTTCGTTGTCAATGCATAGGGAAAAAATCATCTCAATCAAAATTAAAACGAAAAAGTTATAGCATTTTTAAAAATAGAAAAAATATTGTTCATTAATTTGAATTCGAGTTTCAGAACTCGAATTTTAGTCCCAAACTCGAGTTCAAACTTAAAAGAACATGAACTTGAATAAAGTTGTAACTCAAGTTGCTTTTTTTGAGTTTTTGACTCAAAAACTCACTGCCCAAACAACCCCTGAAATTCTCAAATTTTCTCCAAAAAAAAAAAAATTTAATTTAATTTTTTTATTATAATATTTTTACAGCGTTTTTTATCACATAAATTATACTTTATAACTTAAATTCCCAACTCGAATTATGAAGAGAACATACTCTAAAACTATATTTTCTCAAGGATATATTGCGTTGCATTTTTTAGAAGGAAAAATATGCTGGGCTATAAAAAGGATACAAGATTTATGAGATAAAAACATATAATATTTATATGCGATTTTTTTTCCCTTTTTATATGAAGGCACAATAAAGGAAAGGAATAATACTCAAAACACCTTTCGTATTTTGTCATAATACAAATTTCACCTTTCTTGTTATATAAATACCTAAAACATTCTATAAGTTTATTAACACAGACCCAAAATACCCTTGAAATAATTTAATATTTTAAAATATTAAGATTACTCTTCTCCATCTTTATTAAATACAATTTAAAACATTATTAAACTAAAATGTTAAATATAATTAATCTTAAAAAATGAAAAACTCTCAAAATGGGTGAAGTATTTCGTTGATTAGAATATTTATTTGAGAATTTTTATAATTTTGTATTTTAATTTTTAGTGAAATCACATCTAAAATAACTTTTAATATAGATTGAGAAGAGTAATCATGACATTATATAAAATTTAACTACTTTTGGGGTATTTTGCGTTTGTGTCTATAAACACAGGGTGTTTTAAGTATTTGTATAGTAAGAGGGGTGAAAGTAATATTTTAACAAAACATAAGGGGTGTTTTGAGCATTTTTTTTATTTCAGGATAAATAACTTTTTTAAAGATGTTTTTTTTATAAGTGATTGAAGTTTTGTAAAATTACAAAAATTACCATTTTTATTAACTTAGGCCTCGTACATTTCACCGATTGGAGTTTTTAGTTTTAGGTTTATACAGTTAAGAGCTCTTAGAAAATGTCTCATCTAACTTTTCTGCTACAGTGAAAAGCTCTCAGAAAATGTCACATCTCAGCTTGAATTGAAAACTCGAATATGCGAAGTGAACGAGGCCTTAGTGATCAATCACCGATAGACTCGATTATTTTTTATTATTAATCAATATTAATTAATAATTAACAAAAAATACATTATAATTTATCAATTTCAATTAACAAATTACATGTTTATTAATAATAAATTATTAATAAATTAATAATAAAAGTGCTTGATGGTGAGTCAATTATTGATAGACTAATTTATAAGTCAATTATTAATTGACTCATAAAAACATATTGGTCATTTTTATAAAGTAAAAAAAATAAATCATTTATAAAAAGTGGTGATTAAAAAAGCTATCCAGCCCAATTTCCCTATTTTTTTTCTAAATGAAAATACCGATCAGTAATGTTTCCGTGGATTTTCTGATATCTTGAAAGTTCAAACGCCTACCAGATCTTATAGGGGAAAAGAGAAAAAGAAAAAGAAAATTAAAATTAAAAAGCTAACAATTCAAGAAGTTCTATATAAGCAATGAGAGCAGAAAAGACATTTGGATCCCAGTCTTCCATGCATGGCAGTATTCCTTACGTATGACTGTTTAATCAATGTCATTTCCTTGATCATTGAGGAACATGATCAGGAACAGTTCAATCCATATATAGGTGTGCCGTGGGTTCTTCATTTTTCACTTTACTTACTCTCTTTCTCAGCTCTAATTTGCTCATCTGCCGGTCAAAATGGCCCCACCATCTCTGCGCTTTGCTGTGTCAGGCGTGAAAACGCCATTGTTAAACATATGCAGGTAAAGGGTCCCTTTTTTTTATTTTTATTTTTGGTTTTTTGCTTAGTAACTGAGAGAAAATAGAGGGAGTAAATTGGAATTTTCATGCATTTATGGGGGCTTAGGACTCTGGTTTCCGTTCTTACTTGCTCTTTTTTAACTTTTTTTTCTTTCTTCTTTTTTTTAAAAAATAAGGTGAAGGATCATGCGCGTCACTCAAATTTTTTGCTTGAAATTTTGCACGGAATTAATTATAGTAGCAGCATGCATGCAATTTTGCCCCCTTTTTTTTTTTTTTTTTTTTTTCGATCATTGGATCAATAAAGTGACAAAATATTTACTGACTACTCGACAGCGATATACACCACCATCTTATAATGTTTTAGATTAGATTTTAGAATATCGTAATCATGATCTCAATTTAACTAAAAAATTACTTCAATTAATGATGTTCAAGTGCATGGAATAATTATAATGCTTTAATGGCTAAAACAGAAGTCTGATGAAAATAAAATACTCTTATAACCCACCCACATATGGCAAACTTTTTTTTTTTTTTTTTTTAATTTCCTTTGGTAATTTGTAGCGGTTATAATCTGAAAGAGAAATTGTGGAATCTAGCTACCTCAAAGATTTGAGATGCTCAAATTATTCAGGTTTTTTTGTTTTTTTGTTTTTTTTTTGTTTTTTGTGTGTCGGTTCTTTTTTCTTCATTTTTTTTTTATTGAAGAAGGTGAAGTGCTGATATATTATAGTACCTACGTTGTGTTTTGGACCATTTGTTTTTGGTACCGTGCATAGATATTTGATGTTAATTATGTACTTTGTTCTTAGTGATTTTAGTTTAACATTGCCCCTTTAGATGATCCCACTGAAGTCTTCCATGATGCTTGGTGAGAAACTATCTGAAGTTGCTAACGGTAAATCTTGGCAAGTAAGGGTGAACAAGTTTAGGGAGAAGATTTGGCCTTGTGATGGTTTGAAGGAATTTATTGAATATTACAAGATCCACTATGCTTCTATATCCCAATTCACATACCTAGGGAGCTCATCAATCCGTGTATGTATATTCGATGTGATGGATTCTGAGATCAACTACCTGATGGAACTAAAACAATAAACCAATTGAGAATTAAAGCATATGCAAGTACCTCGTGGAAGCTCATTGGAAATCACTGGAATCCGTTGCCGACCAGAATCCAAACCTCTTCTGGTAGACAGTGAAAGGCGTCGTCCACGGTCGCCGGAATCCGCCAATAGGCCGGCCGGAAGTAAGTGGAGGAGCTGCAAACGGAAGAAGAAGGGCAAGAGGAGCCATTGAGCTCCTCCCTATCTCTCCCTCTCTCTGTTCGATTGGCCACACCCCCACAGCAGCACAAGCACCTCCCCAAAAAAATAAAGGGTGGCACCCAATATATAGAAAATGAGATGGGGATATTTGGCTTTAACCAATATTCAATAAGAGAGGATATTTGGCTCAATGAGCTGATTAAATATTAAGAGATAGAGAGAGTTTATATACCTCAAACAATTTAATAAAACAAGTGTCAATCTCATAATAAATCGATATTTAACATACATGCACGTGTTAATTTACATTAACACAATTATCTTTAAGATGTTTTAATTAATTACAGAGTGAATTATTATGATTATGAAAGTCCATATAAAAATATTCCAACACTACCCCCACGAGGATTCAAACAATGAGGACAGGAGAGATAGCGACACAAGTGACGATGAAAGTGTTCAAATTTTTTACACCAAATCTCCTATGGTTCTTTGTTCCTTTGGTAAGCATGAAGAGGATAAAAGTGATGATAAAAGCTTTGAAGTTTTGGGGACGGAACAGCCTTTTTGTTGTGGTTCCAGTGGACGCGTAGAGCGACAACAGCCTCTTAGGAAAAGGCAAAATCATTTCCCTCCGCGGAAAAGAGGCAGGCCTCCCAGGCATTCAAGAGGTAATGCCTCCACGGCCCACCAAACTAGGAATACTAGAACTAGTCGTGAAAAAGAAGAGGAGACGTATCAACTAAAAGAAAATAACAATTCTTACTCGCGTGATTTTCGCGTAAAACATGAAGAATATCCTGAACCGGTTCTTCCCCTGTGTTTGTCTTATGCTAAATCAAGGTTTGTCCGAGGAAACTGAGAAGGCAATTTGTGCTGCCAGAATGTGCAAGCTTAAATATCCTTCTTTTTTGGCTATCCTATGGCCAACTAATCCACTTCAGTTAATCTTTTTTCATCTGCACTTTGATTAGACCGTGCCTGTGGACTTCGTGAAGAGGTATTCATATAGCCCTGGAGAAGAAGAGTACATCCAACTTCAGGTTCACAGTGGGAAGCAGAAATGGCCTGTTCAGTACTACTCTGATAGTAGAAGCATTTCAAGCTTATTCAAGATAATAGGCACCGGTTGGGGTCTATTTTCGTCCGATAATAATTGGGAGGAAGGAGATGTTTGGGTTTTTGAGCTGATCACCAAGGAAGAAAACAATGTCCTGCTGAGAGTCTGGATCAATCGTGCAGCCGAATACACTGGGCAGGTACAAAAACTTTTTAATGCAAAGTAACTTGGTCTAAGAGTTCATGCATTTTGATGAGAAATTATGAGCAAAATATGCAGTTAACTTTCTTTTGCTTGTGGTGTTTTGTTTTCTGGTATGACTCACTCTAATATATTTTAAAATGGTAGTGGGTTTTATTTGCAAGAGTAGAATATTGAATTACAAACTGCAGGTACTGTCTAATAGATCCTTTCTTTTGAGCAGGGTTCAAAACATGTATGAACTTTTATGTGCTTATTTTGTTCTGCGAGTATAATGTGGATTTGGATATTTTGGTCACTAGAATAAGGTTTGGTGACTAACTAATGATTTATCTTATAAATGCCCCATGAACTTTATCACTTGTGTCAATATGTTTTCTGAACATTAAAATGTACCTATTTTGCCTCTCGAATTATGATATATCTTCAATTTTTTCCCTCATCTTGATTCTATCAATTTTTTGAACGGAAGTGTTAATATGACTGTTAAATTGCTAATTATCTATGATATTTGAAGTCTATTGAATACCTTTTCCTCTAAAAATGTTAGTTAAGCACCAATTGTCAAAACATTAGTTGATTAGAGGCAACAAAGAGGGAAAGAAAAGAGGAGCAAATCTGTATAATGTAATGAATTTTGTTATTTTTTTCTTAATATTTCACTTAGATAGAAGTGCTCGATATAAAACATGTTTATGTTTTATACATATATAGCATTTCTAAATCCAAATGCATTCAGATCATTTATTTTATTGTACTTTTAAAAAAAAAATCAACACAAACCTTAAGAAATCCATTAACTTAACAAATTTTAATGGTCAAATATCATAGATAATTAACAATTTAATAGTCACATTAATATTTTTGTTCAAAAAATGATAGAATCAAAATTGAAAGAAAAAAGTTGGAGACATATCATAATTCGGGAGCAAAACATGTACATTTTAAAGTTTAAGGGATTGTAGATATATTATGATTCAAGGGCAAAACATGTACATTTTAAAGTTTAAGGGATTGTAGATATATTATGATTCAAGGGCAAAACATGTACATTTTAAAGTTTAAGGGATTGTAGATATATTATGATTCAAGGGCAAAATATGTACATTTTAAAATTTAAGGGACATATTGACACAAGTGACAAAGTTCATGGTGTGTTTATATGCATTTCCGTTAGAAAACTTAACAGAATTAACCTTAAGCGGCATGTTAACACGAGTGATAAAATTTAAGAATACAACATGCACATTTTAAAATTCAGGAGACGTCATAACACAAGTGATAAAATTCTTATAATTTATAAAATTTGTTCATATAAATTGCGTTTGATGCATATTTTCGCACATTTTTGCGTATTTTATGAAGCCTAAAATCATTTTGCTTATTTATTGAAGAAAAATAATGCCTTCGTCACTTGTCAGCTTACAAGTGCTGTTATTGTATCAATTTGTAACTTATTAACGGAACTGTACTCAGCAAAAAAAAAAAAAAAAAAAAAAAAAAAAAAATTATTAACGGAACTGTCCAAATAAAAAAAAAATGTCAGAAGTAATATAGGTCCCAGTTAGAATATTTCATAATAGATTATTCCTAATTAAAGTCAACTTACCAGTATAATAACATTGTCGAAAATTTTATATGATAAACGTCACTTTTATTTTGTTTTCCAACTGAGCATCATTCCTTCATTTATGCGAATTACAATTTGAAAAATCTTTACCTTAATTATAGGATAGTAGTATCGTACTTAACTAGAAGATCACGTCAAATAAAATATGTTACAATAGAAATGCATTATATTTCATTATATTGACGCCTGATCAGTCTGATATTTATAATATTTTTTACTCGTCATTATATTACATTCGCACTATATTTAATTTATTTGAACTTAACACTCGATGTTACAATACAAGTGTTGAACTATTTATATAAACGTACGTTATAAAATGAAAAAAAAAAAAAAAAAAAGTTACAAACGTCTCATGAAAAGGGTTATTTATAATCAGAATTAATGTGTTATTTATTTAGTTTTAGATTTTCAAGAAATTCTCCTCGGCCAGGTCCACATGAAAAGAATTATTAATAATCATTATAACACAAAGGAGTGCCATTGGTTTTAACTCCATTTTATATTCTTTTGTTTCTCTTCTCTGTCTTTTTCGGATTTTACTTTTTCTTCTGCCTTGCCTTTAGACATCATGGCACAAACACAACTCACTACAATAATCTCACTAACTTTACGTTTTCTCTTCTCTCTCAGACAAAAAGAAACTACAACCTTATTCTCCTTCTATCCTATTCCTAGGCACTCTCACACCAACAGAAGAAACTCTCTGGTTTTTAGAGAGAGAAAGAGAAGGAGAGAGAAAAAAGATGGAGAGAAAAGTTTTGCTGGTAAGCTGTGCTGTGGGTTTTTTAGGGCTATTATCAGCTGCTACTGGGTTTGGTGCAGAAGCTACTAGGATTAAGGTAATTTTTTTTTGTTTTGCTTTTTGGATTAGATTTATTTTTTTCCCTCATGCGGGTTTGTTTTTGATAAGCTGTTATTTGTTTTTCTTTATCGTTTTCCTTCCTTTATTTGCAATAATCCTCTCTTTGGTTTCTGGGAAAACGACGAAAATTAATAAAGTCGAGTACTAGGTAATGTTCTTGCTGTTCTCGTTTCTGGAAGAAAGAAATCAAAAGATTAAGAGCTCTAATTTGATAGATTGAGTGAACTTTTTAAGTTTAGTTTAAAGTTCGGATTTTTTTTTTCCTTTTTGTTTTTTGTTTTTTTTTTTTTTTTGCAACATTTCTTGCTCGCGAAGTATACACAGTTCTACAATGGTTTAATTTCCTTTTTTTTTTTGGTGATTTTCTTGTGCGCCCTTGTTGATATTCTACTCTTCATATTAGAATTTGCTCCTTTTGCTCTGTCTGGAAGCTGTCAAACGTAGAGAAATTCTTGAAATTTGATTTGATTTATTTTTATTTTTATTTTTATTTTTTGGGGACCTTAAGAGGAGATTATGGGGAAGCCCTTCAATTCAAAGGAGCTTATTGAAGTGATTAAAAGGAGGACAAAAAAAAAAGGGAGACTTTTTCTTTAGGCGAGTTAATGATTGTTTTACTCACTTTCCAGTAGGATTTGAAATCTATGTTTAAATCTGTTTTACAGACTCCAGTGATTTATTTGACTTAAAGGATTCAACTTTTTGCAGTATAAATTAATGGTATTACTCAGTACAGACGTTGATCCAATCAACTTCTCTCAGTTATGCCACTAGCAATTTGCATAGATTGTTTTTTCTTTTTTGAAAGATACATCATGCTTTGAGACTTATTAGTCATTAATAATCATTTGAACATTAGTCGAGTGAGTTATCTACTTGTTGTTTCCTGAATCTGACTTTATACTAATGTTTATTTGGACTTAATTCAGAGCATCTACTGAATACTATCAGTAATGTTGTGAAAAACTGCCTTCTTTATTCACAGTCGAGCTCTACTTAATTGGTGTCGAACATAAAGAAAACTGACTTTTGATATCTTTGCGGTTCTTTAGTTTGATTACTAAAGAACAAACTAAAATGAGAATAGACTTTTTCTTTAGTTTGATTGATAGTAGTAGTTTGATTACTAGGATTTGTTTTTTTTGTCTTTTAGGAGGCCTAAAGTGAGATTAGAGCTTGTTTGGTAGGTGAGAAAAGTGGGTGGAGGGAAAAGGGAGGGAGAAAGTAGAGTGGTGAGGGGATTAGTGGAAGGATTTGGGACATATGGTTGTTTGGTAAGGGAGAAAAGAGGATAAAATGGATTGGGCGAGAGATTTTAAATCTTTCAAAAAACCCCAATCTTAATATGAGGGAATCCATACTAAAACACATAAAAAGAAAGGTCCATTCTTTCCGCTCTATTTCCTCACCTTGGTTACCTTCATATTTTTTATGTTTATATCTACTTTCTTTACTCCCGCGGTTTATCTGACTTCAAGGCTTCAACTTTTTGTAATCTAAATGAATGATACACATTTAAAATGTATATCTGTGACACTTTTCTTTCTTTATATATCCACAACTTCTATGAATCTGGTAAATTCTTTCATTGCCTTCTTTTTTGCGGTTTCTGATACCCAGCGGTAGCACCTTTCCTCTATACATTCTCTTCCCTCCCCCCCCCTTTTTTTAAGGCTTTGTTTCTTTCTGTTTTTGTAATCGGTTGAAATGCTAAACGACGCCATATAATGCATACCCCTAGAATTAGATTTTCAATACAGGCACATCATACATGAGAATAGGAGAATGCTGCCCTACTCCAATATGACGGTTTTCAACTTGAGCTTTTAGTTTGGACTTTGGAGTGATGTTTTTAATTTGTAGATTGCTTCTATATCTTCATATCATTGTTGTCAATTGCAATGCTCATGATAGGTTTGTATATACAGCGATGCTAAAATTGTCGTGGCTTATTATCTATTTACTTTTCCTGCAGGGTTCTCAGGTTGAATTCCTCTCTAATACTCAATGTGTATACCCCCGGAGCCCGGCAATGGCTCTTGGGCTAACTGCAGCGGTAGCTCTTATGGTAGCTCAAATAATAATAAACGCTTCAACAGGATGTATTTGTTGCAAAAGAACCATCCAACCACTTAACTCAAATTGGAAAATGGCACTCGTGTGCTTCGTCGTTTCCTGGTAATTCAAAACTTTTCTTGGTTATACGAAAATGTTAGTCGATATTCTCTATTCTGCGAGAAATTCAACTGTTAATAAGGAGTTGAAAACTAATAAGAATTCTTTTAGAGAGGCTTTTCCTTTCCCCTGCTTCTTATGGATCTCACAGGTTGTGCGTTGTGCCTTTATATATATGTGCTTGTTTAGGATGAAGATGAACCAATAATTTTACACTCTTTGGTATGGGTGAAAAGTGGAGGGAGGGACCTTGGACTGGAAATTGAGAAATTAGGTTGTTTGGTAGAAGTGATTTTTGTAAGGAAAGAAAATTTTGGGAGATAAAACCCTTGGGACCCACACTTGTTTATCTCTTCAAAATTGGAGAGAAAAGTTTAAGTGAGGAGAAAACTTTTACAAAAGTTGAGGCTAATAAAGCTACAATATTGTCATCCTCGTATATTACTAAATCTTTAGGAAAAACAAGAAAAAGGATGGCTAAATTTGTAATTTAAAAGATAGTACTACTTATTTCTCTTTATATTCACTTGCAAGTTGCAATACCAAACAAAAAACAAAAAGGCAAAGTCAAAACTTTCTGTTCCTCCTTATCATACCAAATAACATAAAAGAAAAAACAAAACTATCCCTATCATTTCTATCTCTTTGATATTTTCTGCCCACCTTTTTTTTTTTTTTTTTTTTTTTTTTTTTTTTCCTTTCTACCAAACACAGCGTTAGTATGTTCTGTTGGTTTTGCAGCTTGTATATCTGGTTCAAATGGTCAATTACACACTTTTTCTTGCAGGTTCACATTTGTGATAGCGTTTCTTCTGTTGCTAACTGGAGCTGCACTTAACGACCAACACGGTTTAGAAAGCATGTACTTTGGCAACTATTACTGTTACGTTGTGAAGCCAGGAGTGTTCGCTGGAGGTGCCGTTCTGTCTGTTGCAAGCGTTACACTTGGGATCCTCTATTACCTCACCTTTACTCCAGCGAAGAGCGGAAACAATCCGTGGGGCAGTTCGGTTCCCAATCAGAGTGGCATAGCCATGGGGCAGCCCCAGTTCCCACCGCAGAACAGTCAGGACCCAGTTTTTGTACATGAAGATACTTATATGAGACGACAGTTCACCTGACGGATTCGGAAGACGGCCGACATGATTGTGATTTTCTACTTTGGAGATAATATCTTCAGCAAAATTTTTGTGGGGATTTTCTGCAGTAGCATTTTGGTTTAATATCCCTTCTTTTGTTATGTTTATAATATGCGCAAAGTTATTCACCAATGTATATTGTAAAACAGGGATTTCTTTCTATATAAGCTGGATGGATTATTGTTATGACAGTATTCACAGAAGCAACGAAGTCCCATTACTCGTGGAAGATTGTGTTTGTTTCTCTTAGTCAAGAGAAAACAAACAACTGATGAGATATGCAAATCCATAAACTAAACTACAAATTAGCTTAATCTGGTTTTATTTCACAAGCTTTCTAATTCATGAGAAAGATTGACCGTTTTTTGAAATCTTCTTTTAGTTGTAACTTAAAATCAAGAACTGCAAATGGAACAAATCTCTTTTCTGCTGTGTTGGGTAAATCAAGCGAAGAAAATGGGAAGATAAAGTATGACATCTACGTCGAGAAAATAGACATAAGAGGAGGCTTTTAAAAAAATAAAAATTAAAAAATTAAAAGTTGTTTGGTAAGGATTCCCTCCCCATCCTTTCAACATTAGAAGGACCAAAATTTGAGTCGCATGTAGGATTTTAAATACCTTCCCCATAAAAAATTTTTATTCTCTAATCTATCATGTTAAACAATCATTTAATCTATTCACTAATCGTTCCACCGCATAACATTCTCTCTCCTTTTACCAAACAAGGCATTAGAGTTTCAAACTTGTTTCTTCAACATATAAGCAATGAAAATCGACTGATTAATCCCCATATGTTCTTGATTCTTAAAGAGGAAAGGATGATCAGAGAAACAAAAACATATATATTAAACACACAGCAGAGTCGTAATTTGTTGCCAATCGGGTCAAAGCAGCCTGGTATAGTCAAGCAGCCAACTAAGAACTTAAGCTCTTAGTGATAATAAAAAAATGAAAAAAAAGGGAGAGAAAAATATAATATAGGTATGATTGGGTCTCTAAGAAGGAGCCGTTGACTCACTACCAACCATTCAACCCATAAGCAACTACCTCTTCCATCCACGCCCCCTCACTCTCCTACCAAACACAAAATATTGACAAATCCAAACACATGACATCACAATACTATATTAACATGGCATCAATGAGATCAGAATTAATGCCAAATTCCTAGAGTTAGAGACACCTCTTCCTAACCCAATACTCTCACAATCCACAAGTTTTTTTTAAGAAGTTCAGGGTTCAGGGTTTAATACTATGGCGGTGTCAACTCCTCCTTCTTTGGCATTGAAGGTGACAAGGCAAGAGCCGGTGCTGGTCGTCCCGGCTAAACCTACACCACGCGAGGTCAAACAGCTCTCCGACATCGATGACCACACCAGTCAAAGGTTTCATATTCCAATGATACAGTTTTATAGGCACAATCCTGCCGCAGAAGGGAAGGACCCTGCGAAAGTGATTAAGGAGGCACTTGCACAAGCACTTGTGTTTTACTACCCTTTCGCTGGTAGGCTTAAGGAAGGCCCTGACGGGAAGCTCTCGGTGGATTGCACTGGGGAAGGCGTCTTGTTCATTGAGGCTGATGCAGATGTCACGCTTGATCAGTTTGGAGATGTTGTTCTGCCCCCATTCCTTTGTGAGGAGGAACTTATTTATGAGGCTCCTAAATCCCAAGGGCTTTTTGCTTCCCCTTTGTTAATTATTCAGGTAAGTACTTTAACATGTAGTCTACTTTTCTATGTTCCTTCCAACCATGATTAAAATGAATTAGTTGCTTTTGACCACTTATTCGTTCTCTAGTGATCATAAAAGTACATAGTAATTAGTCCAAAATATCAAACTGGTCAAAAAGAACGGAAGAGTTCTTTGCTAGAAAGAACAGAGGAGTTAAAATACATGATCAAGATGCCAAACTGGTAAAAGTTGACCGTTCTGACATAGTTCATAAATTAAACTAAAATAAAGGAGAAATATATTCAGCATAGATCTAAAAGAGCGTTTCGCGTTTCAATATATTATTTTAAAGTTTTATTAATATTTTTCTTGATGTACAACTAGCTCCTTTTCCCCTCAATGATCATACTAACAATAAAAAATAATTCCAACCACTAGCAATACATGTGCTATCACATGCACCTTACCTAGAAGTAGTAAAAGTATGAAAAAGTTTTACTTACAAGTTATCATCATCATCATCATCATCATCATCATCATCATTATTTATAAAAGATGAGTAAACGTACTGATTACTTGTGTCAATATGGTAGGTGACTCGCCTGAAGTGTGGCGGCTTCGTACTAGGATTGAACCACAACCATGCCCTCGCTGACCTAAAAGGGCTAGTCCAATTCTTGACGGCGGCTGCCGAGATTGCAGCTGGCGCAAGCACCCCCTCCGTCCTGCCCGTGTGGAAAAGGGAGCTCCTCAATGCGAGGAACCCGCCGCAAGTAACATGCACTCACCGCGGCTTCAACCCAATCCCGGCCCCCGCCGGCCCGCCCCCTCATGTTGAAACGACTCACAACTCTTTCCTCTTTGGGCCCGCCGAGATCTCCGCGCTCCGCAGGCTATTGCCACCCCAGCAACAAAAGTGTTCTGACTTCGAGCTCCTCACAGCCTGCGTTTGGCGCTGCCGTACGGCTGCATTACAGGTATAAGGCTGATTTTACAGTTTCAATTTTAGGATGAAATAGAGGAATATCACTTTCATTGAGTTGGGTTTTAAACATATCATCTTTTCAAAATTTAAGCCTAATTTTCACATCAAAGTAGTAGACATAAATAATTAACTAGACTTCAAAACTACCTTAAATTTACGCCAGTTTTATGTCTAAAGGTTTTGTGAAATTTCAATTGTAACGTTATTCAATACGCAAATTTATGACCATATCTACACTTAGTAATAAAAATTATTACATTTTTTTATCTTATTAAAATCATCTCATATATTTTTTTATATTATTAAAAAAAATTCTGACTATGTCACTACTTATTACAGATCAATCCCGAGGATGAGGTGTACATGATACTCGTCGTGGACTCGCGCCCCACGTTCAACCCTCCATTGCCGACCGGCTTCTACGGCAGCGCGCTCGCCTTCTCCACCGCCGTGACGACGGCGGGGGAGCTGCGCCAGGAACCGCTGGAGCACGGGGTGGAGCTGGTGAGGAAGGCGGCGGCGGACGTGTCGGAGGAGTACATGAGGTCGTTTGCCGACTTCATGGCGACAAATGATCGGCGACACTTCACTTTGGTGAGATCGTACGTTTTGATGGATTTGAGGGGCGTTGGATTCGAAGATGTGGACTTTGGGTGGGGCAAGCCCGCCTATGGTGGGGCCCCCGGGGCCATGCATGGGGTTTCGAGCTTCTTCATGGGGTTCAGGGACGGTAAGAGTGGAGAAGAAGGGCTTGTGGTGCCCATTTGCTTGCCTGTTCCGGCCATGGAGAGGTTTGTGAAGGAGTTGAATTCTTTGTTGGGATAAGTCAAAGATAACGACACAGTTGTATTGGCTTAATTTCGTTTGTATTTTTTTTTTTTTTGGAAGGGTTCTAAAGTCCAAATTAGTGTGCTGAATAATGCCAGCGCTAGCTGCAACGTGTTGGACTTATCAAAGTTGGAAAAGAAAAGAAAAAAAAAAAAAAATTGACACAAGAAAGCTACATGTCGTTTTATATTGATTTGAAACAACGACATGTTTCCACGCTTGTGTCCTTCCTCTGTTTCGAAAATGAAATGACTTGTCGTTTACTGGATCCACACAATACAATGTCGTCTGTTATCAGACTAAAAAGGACATTTCATCTACTCAATAAGTGGAGAAGGGCTGTTTTCTAATTTCTGCACGAATTGAAGGACATGTCAATGCAATTTACGTTTCTTTTGTCGTTTTACTGAAAAAAAAACGACATTAATTTTGATTTCATGTGTTTAAGCTCGAAAATATTATTATTACGTCTCGTTTTATTTGAGGGAGAACTACATCTCTACTATTTTCAGACGCCGCAACTGAAATTTTTAACGTCAACATTCCCTGCCCCAAAACACTGTGATACGTATTCAATTATGTAATGCTTTGCCTGATATCTCTTTGTTTTCATTTATGTTATCAAAATATTATACGTTTTTAGATTACATATAATGCTTTGAACTTACATCCCTCTATCACTTTTCACAAATTACATCTGTAAATAATCAGAAAAACATCATACATAGTATCATAATATACTATAATTCAATGAGTGGGTTCAAATTCTGGAAGGGCTTGGTGTGAGTGTAAGGATGGGCCGATCTATGTTGGGCCAGACCCAAAGGATCCCTATGCTTACCCATGTAATCTATCTATCCATCCATTTATCTCTATCTCTACTATTTTCTTAGCTTGTCCCTTACAATTTTTTAATTACAATATTTACATCGTATTTTAAAACATTTAAATTAAATCAAATGCTAGTGATTTTTCAAAATGCTTGTAAAATGTCGTTTCTTGAAATTTAACTCGATTTAAAAAATTATACCATCGATATAATTTTTAGGCACGTAGACGGGTATTTTCTCAATTTAAAAAAATTTTAATTTTCAAAATATAATTTTATTTAAGGTTCAAATGACAAATGGGTGATTTTTTTTTTTTAAAAAAAAAAAAAGGCTGTTTCTGTAATTTTTCCAAAAAAAAAAAATAGTGGTTGGCATAAAATATTTCGAAAAAAGAGTCTCCTCGCCAATTTAGGCAAAAATAGGGGGGCGGCGGCGGCGGGGCAAGCGTTTTTCATTCAAAACGACAAGAAGAGTTCGTCGGTTGACTCAACAAAGTTGGACAGTAGACACGCGGGCTACATCGGCATCAAATTATAAGACGAAAAAAGCCGCGCCTACAGAAGGGTACTTACGTAAGACCGTAATACAACGGCTACTTCGAAAATATAGCCGTTACAACCATATTCAGAATTCGGCGGACCACGCCTTCCATCAAAGGCAACATCTTTCCTGTCTGAAAACCCTAAATCATCAAATCTCAATCGGTATATAAAACCCACCACCATTTTTCCTCTAATAAACATCAACTCTCTCTCTCTCTCTCTCTCATCCTCTTTCTCTCTCTAACGACGTAGTCTTTCCTTGCAAACGCTATCACTGAACAACAAACGCCGCTTTCGAATCTCTCTCTCTCTCTCTCTTAATACTTTCAATTTTGTTTTGTTCTGTAGACTAACTTTGTTTTTCAGGCTTGTGTTTTTTTTTTCTTATTTAATTTAATTGTGCATTTTCTTTTTTGGGTTTTTGCTTTCTCTTTCGGTTATTTTATTATTATTTTTTTTGTAGATATATATAGTTCTTTTTTCGTAAAGATATGGATGCAGGATCTGTGAATTCTTCATCATCGATCTTGAAGGTGCAATCTCGACGCCCTCTTCAAGAACAATTTCTTCACAAAAAGAATTCTCGGGAAAATGTAAGCATTTATTTTGACTCTGGATCTTTCTTTTCTCATTAATGAATTGGGATTTTGTTGTTCTTGATTACCCAATTTCAGCAAATTAAGGCTTTCTTTTTTCGTTTAGATTTCCGAATGTGATGTTATTATCAGTATGAAACCCGAATTGCCCTATGGATTTTAGTGATTTTTGGTACTAGAGTTTTTTCTTTTGTTTGGGAAATTATGAAATGCATGAATGACCCTGATTGCCATTTATTTGATCTAGGGCGTGGGCTTTTGTTCATGTGTTGAAATTCAAAAAGTTCGGCTTTCGTTTCAGATTTCAGAATGTAGGGCATAGTCTAAGGGAAATGAATTTGGGAAAAGCAATATCAATTTCAAAATCAGGCTTTTGTCTGATTGTTTCTCGTTTTTCAACCCACGAATTGTCCTAATTGAACTTAATTGGATTTTGCTATCATAACACTACGAATTGGGATTTTGTTCATAGTTGTTGAAATTTGAGAAAATTCGGTCAAAGGGTTTAGGGTTTCGAATATTAGTATCAATGACAAGTTAGAGGCCTTTGGTTTCGTGTTTCTTTGTTGTGAAAATCTGAAATTCATGAATGATCCTTGACGTGATTTTTTTTTTTTTTTTTTTTGTATATTTTTTTTTTTATGAATACCAGCTGGACAGGTTCATACCCAACCGTTCTGCAATGGATTTCGATTATGCCCACTACATGCTTACTGAAGGAAGGAAAGGTATGGAAAACCCGGTAAGTTCCTCTCCATCAAGAGAGGCCTACAGGAAGCAATTGGCAGAGACCTTTAACATGAACCGGAGTCGGATTCTTGCTTTCAAGAACAAGCCTCCGACGCCAGTCGATCCCTTCCCCCACGAAATGACTTCGGCTCCACAGGACAAACCCGCAAAGTCCCGGCGACACATTCCTCAGGTGGGAAAATTTGATCTTATAATTGTATCTTTTGAGTTTAACTTGGAGATGAAAACTCTCATCCTTCTTCGGAATTTTTTGTAATTTGAAGTTGTGCACTTATAATGATTCATTCTGTTTTTTGCAGTCCTCAGAGAGAACATTGGATGCTCCTGATATTGTGGACGACTACTACCTGAATCTCTTGGATTGGGGAAGCGCAAATGTTCTTGCAATAGCTCTTGGAAACACAGTGTATCTTTGGGATGCTACAAACGGATCTACTTCGGAACTTGTTACCATCGATGACGAGAATGGCCCTGTTACGAGTGTTAGTTGGGCTCCTGATGGACGCCACATCGCCATTGGCCTGAACAATTCCGATGTACAGCTCTGGGATTCAACCGCTAATAGACAGGTTTGTAGTAACGTTAAGCTTCCTTTTTTCTTTGTTTACTGTCAAGTTTAAGTCATATGCAAAGTTGTGCTAATGATTGCCTTATTATTGCTCTATGTTTTTCAGCTAAGAACTCTCAGAGGTGGCCACAGACGGCGAGTAGGCTCACTGGCCTGGAACAATCACATACTTACTACTGGTGGAATGGACGGTTGGATCATCAACAACGACGTAAGAGTCCGATCACACATTGTTGAGATCTACAGAGGACATGAGCAAGAGGTTTGTGGGCTCAAATGGTCAGCTTCGGGCCAGCAGTTGGCGAGTGGAGGGAATGATAACCTCCTCCACATATGGGAGAGATCAATGGCTTCTTCAAATTCAGCAACGCAGTGGCTTCACAGGCTCGAGGACCACACATCCGCAGTGAAAGCCCTCGCTTGGTGTCCCTTCCAGAGCAACTTACTGGTTTCTGGTGGAGGAGGTGGCGACCGCTGCATAAAGTTCTGGAACACTCACACCGGTGCATGCGTCAATTCTGTTGATACTGGCTCTCAGGTTTGTGCTTTGCTGTGGAACAAGAATGAGAGAGAGCTGCTTAGCTCACATGGTTTTACTCAGAACCAGCTTACTCTTTGGAAGTACCCTTCAATGGTTAAGATGGCAGAGCTCACTGGCCATACCTCAAGAGTTCTTTTTATGGCTCAGGTATTGTTGGATGAAATCCTGGAAAGCCCCTTTTTCATTTTACGCAATGGAGATTTCTCTTTGTTTGCTTCTTCTGTCTACAATTTTTCTAAATTTCTTGTTTATGTTTTGTTTTTTCAGAGCCCGGATGGTTGCACAGTAGCATCAGCAGCCGGGGACGAAACGCTGAGGTTCTGGAATGTTTTCGGTGTCCCAGAAGTGGTTAAACCTGCTTCAAAGGCCAAACCTGAACCTTTTGCTCATTTGAATCGCATTCGGTGATTCTACGACAATCAAGATTTTGAATACAGAAAAGACGTGTATATTCTTTGAACAGTTCGCTGTATTTCATCAGTAAAAACGACTAAAAATAAGATTTCGTACAACACTTTGTTGTGGTCATCTTGCATCATCTCCAGACAAACAGATCAATTGGAGACCGGAAACCACTAATCGACTGGAGATTTTTGCTCGAATGAAGTACCATGTATTATTTTCTTTGCAGCAGTGACTCTACAGTGGATCAGGTTTTTCCACTTTACATTCTCGTTCACACGATACGTGATTTCAACTGAAGGCAAATTGACCTTGAAACAATTGAAAAAATTTCCTTCATACGTTTTGGCACGACGAACCTTTCATAGATGCAGGATCTATGACAAATGGAGTCTTTTGACCGTGTGTGTAAGCCTTAATTTTGACAACAGAGATTGCAGTACGACAAATGAATCTGAGCATAAGAGTACAACAACTATTTGAGAAAGCCATGACAGTGTCCCTCTCTTACAATAGAGCTTGTTTTTTTACTTGAAAAATCAATTTTTCGGAACTTGATTTTAATCATATAAAATTTTGAACAGAGATTTTTTAAAGCAACAAAGTCTACAAAATTGTTTTAAAAACAAAGACAAATAATATAAAATTTTGAGCACATGAGATTGTCCTAAACAACAAAGTTTACAAAATTGATTTAAAAATAAAAGTGTTGAGTGAAAATATTTATTAATGTTGAAATAATATTTCACACACAAACATATTTTTCACCTACACTAGGATTTAATTAGCATAGGAGTTTATTATTTTTAATTCGATCCATTCAAGATTATAAGAATAACCCATTGGTACAAAAGAAAACCTTTTGATTCCAATTAAAACAGTAAATCTATTTTCTTGTGAATTTGGGAAATTTGGGTTGATTTAAAATTGCGGCTGAACTCAGTGAATTTTGTTGAGTTGCCTACATACCCCGTTAATGGATCAAGCCACTTGTAGTTCAAATTTTGGGTTTAAAAATTTTAGATAATTCCTTGGTGTATGACCTTATGAGGAATTGACGCACTTTGAAATTTGATTTGGTTTTGTATTGATTTTCTCTTTTATGAGAATTTTAGAATTGAATTTGGTCTTGAAACTGCACTTAAATTTTAGGTTGCCTACGTATCCCATAGGGAATCTAGTCAATCATAGTTCTTGAATTTGAATTTGGATTTTGAAGAATTTCTCGATATATGACCATAGGAGGAATTCAGGATCGAATTTGATCTTGAAACTGCACCTAAATTTTTAAGTTGCCTACGTATCCCATAGGGAATCAAGTCAATCGTGATTCTTGAATTTGAATTTAAGATTTAAAAATTGTATTTAATCACCATATAGTTTTATGAGATAATAGACTCATCTTTTTAAACTTAGGGACCATAGAGGGGCCCAATTTATGCACTTTAAATTTTAGGGTATTTAATATTCTGAATTTATTTTGAAATTATTGTCTTTAAATTTTGGGGTATTTAATAAATTTTGGGGTATTGTAATCCGTATATCTTGAACATAAATCTAACTAATAATGACAGATGAATTTCTTATCTTGAAAAAAACGTGTAGAATTTTAAAATTTATAACTCTATTTAATTTTTAGAGATTTTAAATTTTACAACTCCATAATTTTATAAAATTTTAAAATTTATAACTCTATTTAATTTTTAAAAGTTTTAAATTTTGTAACCCCACACTTTTCTTGACTGGGTTTAAAAATTTACAATCCGTATTTCTTGAACATGAATCTGACAAATAATGACAGATGAATTTATTGTCTTAAAAAAACTTGTAGATAAAACATAGATTAAAATAGATGAGTAAATGACAAATTTTTCCACCCTCTTTTTTTTTTCTTTATAATTCTCTCTACACAGATTATTTCACACTTCTCTCACTACTTCCAACGTCTACTTTCTCTGCACAGTTTTTTTTTCTTCGTCCGTCACACTGTATTTTTTTTTTTCTTCTTCTCTCACTTCCACACCTGCACGGGCTGCACCTGCAACCTTTTTTTGTTTCTTTTCCTTCTTTCTTCTCACGTTTCCCCACACAAGCTTTTTTTTTTTTTTTTTTGTTTTCTCTCACCTTTCTGCACACACACGCACCAAGTCCTTTGTTTTTTTTTTTTTTTGCATTCTCTCGCCTCTTCACTGCACACACCTGCACAAAGTCTCCAGCCCCAAATTTTTTTTTTTGTTTCGCTTTTTTCATATAAAAGAATTTCACCGTTCTCCATTTCACGTTCTGCACCCACGTTCTTCACGTTCTTTTCTTTTTTTTTTTTTTTTGGGGTCCCCACAAAGTTAAGTCAAAATAAAATTTTATTTTCCCCTCTCAATTTTTTAAGACATATTTATGATTTGTTCTTCCCGTTTTTTTTTTTTTTTTTTGGGTCCACACAAAGTTAAGTCAACATAAAATTTTATTTTCTCCTCTCAATTTTTTAAGACATATTTATGATTCGTTCTTCACGTTCTTTTTTTTTTTTTTTGGGGTCCACACAAAGTTAAGTCAACATAAAATTTTATTTCCTCCTCCCAATTTTTTAAGACATATTTTGATTTTTCAGAACAGTTGATTTTAATCATATAAAATTTAAAACAGCTACCATGAGATTGTCCTAACCAACAAAATCTACTAAATTGATTTAAAAATAAAGACAAATAACAAGTGGGCTCCCTCTCACAATAGAGCTTGTTTTTTACTTAAAAAATTAATTTTTCAAAACAATTAATTTTAATCATATAAAATTTTAAACAGTTATTATGAGATTATCCTAAACAACAAAATCTACAAAATTGATTTAAAAACAAAGACAAATAACAAGTGGGCTCCCTCTCTCACAATTGATTTAAATGCTTGAAAGGTTTTTTTCTTTTTTTTTTATGTACGAAAAAGAAAGACTTGGAAATTTGAGCTTTGAAAAAAGATTAAAAAACAATTCACACATTAGATGCAATTAGGTGTGGAAATTTGAGCTTCGGAATGGGACACATGTTTTCGTCAAGAAAACAGAACGGGACATATGTCACTACCTAAATGGATGATTAGAATTACTTTAATTGGAAGTCATGCAGACATAAGTTTGATGAGAATTTTTTTTTTTTGGCGACGTCAATGAAATTGCTTGGCTGGAAACTTAAAAAAAAAAAAAAAAAAAAAGTGGAACAAATTATTTCGCTCTACAAGTGAGAATAATTAGTTTTAATTATTAGATTAATTTTTTAACAGTTAAATTTATACAAATTTATATTAAAAACTTACAATACGTCACAAAAAATTATTCTTACGGCATAACCTATAAAAAGACAGTTCTATAATGGAGTAAAAAACTTGCTCCTCCATAAAAAAGCTAAAGAAAAATAAAATAAAAAATAAAAAAATATGAACTGAAAGCACCATTGTTTTGATCTTTTTTTAAAAAAAATATATACGCAAGACTATTATTTTAATTGCAACATAACAATGTGATATCTCACAAGATAAAATTTATAATCATATCTGATAGTTGTAATGTTTTCTTGCTTATATGTTACGCAGAAATAATCGACAAAGTCTATAAAATTGATTTTAAAACAAAGACAAATAACAAGTGGGCTCCCTCTCTCACAATAGAGCTTGTTTTTTACTTGAAAAATCGATTCAGAACAGCTGGTTTTAATCATATAAAATTTTGAGCAGTTACATGTGATTGTCGCAAGCATCAAAGTCTACAAAATTGATTTAAAAATTGAGGTAGACGTATATAGTTGACCAGTTCTAAGTTGAATTGCTTTGAAACTGCAGAATTTAATATTTCTGTAAAGTTAATTTCACTCTCTGACCGTGGACTGAGATATTATTGGTTCAACACCACAAAGAAATTTGCGGTGAAATTGGCGCATTGACGTAAGAATTGAACAAGTTGACCGGTTAATTACAAAACAACATGTCAGATGACCTCCAAAACTCGTCTAAGAACGTAAAATACCCTAAAAGGGACCATCAAATTTTAAAGCATGCAAAAATACCCTTCAATAGTTTGTACAGAAAAGTTAATTTGCAATTTTGTTTTACTTGATAATTGAATGCAGTGGATCATTGCTTGGTTTGCAATCAATCAACGTTATAACTTGTTAAAAATTACATGTACATTAATTATCGAAGAACGCACAAGGAAACGACCGAATAGTTGCCTTTGAGATCACCATGTGAAAATAGTAGTAGCATATAATAAAATTGCAACTCACTGTGATTAAAAGTTTGAGGTACGAAATTTGTACGTACATGATATGAGAAATAACTTCATTTCGAAGTGATAGAAACCATATATATGCACCAGCACCGGGTGAGAACTAGGAAGGAGTAAACTTTGAATGTTTATTAAGAAAAGAAACTTATAAATCAAAGCCAACATATATAAATATACAAGTCATATATATATGAATGGCGTAGGAGCCGTCGAAATCACCTGCGAGGGTTAGAAACCGAGAGGTAATGGCTAAAGAACTCGTCAATAACCAGAGTGCGAGCTGGGATATCGAGACAAAGCTCAATTTCATTCAACAATAATCCAAGCTGCCACTCCCTTGCGAGAATTTGGAAATAAATACTCCTAACAGGAGGCAGCAGCTGGCAACGACAAACAACAGCCCAAGTAGGGTAAACGACAGCAAAACAAGGTCTAATGACCAGTACATACACCAAACGACAAGGGTTTTTTCACAAAGCTTATTACAACTCAAAACGACAGAAAACAAAACGACAATGAAACCGAACAACTGAAGATGAAGGCTGTGAGACGACAAACGACAACAGCCGACTTCATGCCTCTGCATCAATGAAGCTTTTCTTCTATTCAATTGACTAAAACTTGAAGCTTCTGACTGAGATCATCAACATATGAAGATTCACTATAATTTTCTTCCATCACTGTCTTGATTGCTTTACACACTTTCTCGCGTAAAGAACCGCTACCACAATGTGTGACATAACACCCAACAGATGGGTGCTCCAATATCAGCTGTTGCTGAATCCACCCACTATGAACCACACCTCTTCCTACAACTCTGCCTGCAAACCCATCTGGCAATGCTTCTTCAACAGTCTCGGTCCCAAAAGGCGGTTTCAGCACTGCAAAAAAGGGCAACCCGGAAAGCTCAAAACCCAAAAGCAACTCTTGGAATTGTTCTTTCTTCAAGATGTTATCACTTCCAAAGGCACAGAAGATAACCGAGCCAGCCTTAAACTGGCCTAGGAATTTATCCCATTTCTCTTCTAAGCTAAAACTACTCATGGGAGGCTCCGGTATAACCGGGCCTGCAAGGAGTACTGGCTTCCCAAAATTTCTTTCTAGGAACTCAGCAAACGGCCCTTCCATTTCTCTAAACCCTTTGGACACAAAAGTGTCGCATTCTATTGTGCTTATGTGAAGTCGGTCACGAAGCTTCATATCATTGCCAAATGGTTGAGAGTTTACGCTTACAAAGTATGGCATTTCGTGCGGATGAAGCTTGATTGATGAATCGGGGAAGCCATTTGGTGGCTGAAGAAACATTTTCTCGAATGGTATTGTGGCAGTTTCTTGTCCCTCAAGTTCTCTACCGCGAAAGTAACTCATCATTACTGGACTGACGACAGAGAAATAAACGGTTTTGATTTCTAATTTGCGCGCCAACTTTGGTATCCAGTGGGTGAAGTCAAAGAAGACAATGTGAGGTTTGAGGTCTCGTAGAAGAAGTTCAATGTGGGGCTCTGTCCGGTCCATGGCGGTCATGATTAGTGGGATTAAAGGGGAAGGCACGTCGGAAGTGGTCTCTGCGCCGAGAGGGAGGCCATCGACATGGGGGACGGTGATGGGGACGAAGGTGATGAGATGTGGGAATCCGTTGAAATGTTGTATTTTGGATTGTGTTTTGGTAGGGACGAAGAAAGAGATTCTGTGGCCTTTTCTTGCTAGTTTGTTGGACATGTGGAGGAATGGTGTAATGTGGCCAAGAGCAAACCAAGGGTACATGACAATATGCAAAGAAGAATTTGACTCCATATCCCTTTTCCTGTGAAGATTAATCAGTCAAACAGATTACTCTTGAGGATTTAATGCGTATACAACTAAAAGCTTGGTGCTATTTAAATGAAAATAAAGTCGGTTGATTAATATTACCTTGTAATTAAGGCTCAATTTGGATTCCGCAGGGGGTAAAGTGGACTAATCATTATGCGTACGTGTATAATTTTTTAATGGAAAATTAGGTGGATAAAAAAAGGAATTGAAAGCATTGTACCATTAGTTTGGTTTGCAATCCCTGCTATTAAACCAAACTAAATTAGAGAAAATTGTAAAAACTAACCCTAAAATAAGCAGTTATATCTTCTATCTTTTTATTGTGATAGATTACCCTTTTAATAAGAATCTATCAAATTATAGGTAGTAATCTATCAAATTACGCCCGCTGCCAACGATTGGAGACTCGCCGCCCGCGACCGGAGACCCGCCACTAGATAATAATCTGTCAAATTACTTACTCTAAATGGGCAAAATTCAATAGGTCAATGTTGAGATCTAAAAATCCTTAATAGTACAATTTTAAAGGGTATTTGTCAAAATTACCCAACTAATTATAGAGCTCCCAAAATCACTAAAATGCTACATCTAGGCTGTATCATATCAAATTATGACAACAGATAAGCCAAATTAAGCCCGAGATTCAGAAATAAACTAGAAAATGATATAAATTGAAGTGATGCAATTAAAGTATATATCACAAATTTAACGATTACAAAATAACGCTGCAACAGGAGAAAAAAAAATGCTCGATCGAGAATCACACAATAACAATTAATTTACAGATGGAAGATTACAAATAACTATCCAAAGTCCAATTCCAGAAGCTATATAAAGGACTTTAACAGAATCAAATTAATGGATATTAACTTGAATGGGCCATCTAAAGCTGACATGAGCTAGATTCCCACTGGTATGATAAGTTGTTCAGAAAATTCCTAGCAGCTATAAGCACCAACTCCGAGTCTACATTAGACGATGAAATAAAAGCAAAGGCGGCTGATGTTTAGCTTGGTCCCCTAGTGATGAGTACTGAGTTTTATACTCGCGAGTTAGGTGTTCTTTATCCTAATTTTTTTTGTTGGTTTCTGAGTTTTAACGCTTGTTTTTATATTTATTTTGTAGTTTGGATAGGAAATAGGATTTGGGATGGATTTCGGGTCAAATGGAGACAAAAATAGCTAAAAGGATCACATTGGAGATGTTTACAAGCACCGCGGCGTCACCGGATCATGCCTTAGAATGAGCTAATGGATTTTAAAAAATGGGCCATCTAAAGCTCACATGAGCTGGATTCCCACTCGTATGATAAATTGTTCAGAAAATTCCTAGCAGCTATAAGTGCCAATGCCGAGTCTACATGAGACGATGAAATAAAAGCTAAGGAGGCAAATATTAAGCATCGGTTCTCTAATAGTAGGAAAGTGGTCACAATTGTGAGAAGATGATCAACCACAGAAAGTGTCTCTATACACAACTTACTAGTCTCCATGATTGATGTCATTTTAAGGCCCCGTTCATTTCACCGATTCGAGTTTTCAATTCTAGTTTTGCTCTAGTTAAAAGTTATTAGAAAAAGTCATACCTAACTTTTTTTATTACAGTTAAAAACTCTCATATAAAGTCACATCTCAACTCAAATTAAAAACTTGAACGAGCGAACTCAACAAGGTAAGTGTGTTAAAAATTTGACTTTCTTAAAATCACTGTGAACGTCTGAAACACAAGGAGGAATTCCATTTAGCACCCAACCACACAAACGTTGAAGCTTCTCGCTTTATTTGCAATGAATTCTTCACTAATCTTGGAAGCAATTTACAAACTTGAAGCGTTTCTTGTTAGGAAATTTTATTTCCTAATAATAATTATGGTCCACATATTTATAACAATTATATTAAGCTATTTAATTAATTGGGCTAATTAAGTGATCTAATTATGAAAAGCCTAAATAGTCTCCTAACTGGGTATGGGCTGAATGAGTGGATACCCATATTGACCCAATTAGGTTTAATGGGAGTCTAATGGGACAATATATAAAGAAACTTAGGTTATGGTCCCCAATATGTCAAATCATTCGGCCGTTTTCCTTCTTTCCCATATAGAGAGAAAACACCCCATTCAAGAATCTGGAGATTTGACTGAGGAAGGCAATAACCGTCATGCTCATAATCTCAAAGAACATTACTGGAGATTAAAGGCTGCATCAATGGAGACAGGTTAGAGTTCTAACTTATTTTCTTAGTAATTTGGTTGATGATTCCTGGAATGTGGAATAAAGATTTAAAGATCCAACAAGTGGTATCAGAGCGTTCATCACTTTAAATTATTGAGAGAATTTTTATCTCCAATTGAACATTATGTTGATTGATTCATATGATTTTTCTATTGTCTATGATATGCTTTATTTTGTTAGGAAAAGTATGTATATAGATAATTATATGAATTATTGGTGATTGATTTCGATCAATATTTGTTGAATAATTTTCAGAATTATTTATTATTCACATAATTGATAGTCTGGAAAATCGAGGATTAAGGAAATTTGGTAAAAGAATTAACTAAAAGAAAGTTTTTTTTTTGTTTCTTCTGGAAAATTTTTTCCTTTCTTCGTTGTCTTTTCCGAAACGGAGAAGGATTGTGGCCGGCGGCAGTCTTGGCCGCCGGCGCTGAGGAATCAAGGGTGCGGCCGTTGGGTCGTGCCGATGAGCAAGCCTCGGCGGGGGTGAGGAACAGCGGTGGCCAAGGCCGCTGCATAAGGAAAGAGAAAAAAAATGTTGCCAGCGGCAAACTTGCTGCCGCCGGCGACTGGATTTCCAGGCGCAGCCGTTGGCCTGCGCCGGAAAGTTATTGCCGCGGCCGGCCGGCCACGGCATGGGGACTGGTGGCCACCAGTGCAGACACTTCGCGACCCTAACCGTTTCAGTAGTTCTGGACTTCGGCCCAGAACTTAAAAAAAAGGGATACGGGCCCGTTTTGGGCCCGTGACAGAAAAAAAAAAAAAAAAAGAAGGAAGCACAGGCCCAAGGGCCTGTGCATTAGAACTAAGGGCCACAGGTTATTACCTGCTGCCATAAAGAAATAAATTGCCAATTTTGGCAATTTTGAGTTCATTTTAAACTCAATTTTAGAGATTTTGGGCATATATTTACCCATTAAAAAAATTAAGTGCAAATTAATTAAAGATTTAATTGAATAAAATGAAACTCTGGTTCTTAATTTTTGTTTTATTTGATTATTATTGCACTTAATTATCTTGTATTTTGAAATAAATTGATTGAAATAATATTGTTGCCAAAGTAACCTCTGTTGTGGATGTTAATTTATTTTGAAATATAAAGATGTGTATGCCTGTTATTTATGTGAATAATGATCAGCCCAAAGGAAGGTTATTATTTGGCCAAATAATGAGTATACTTGTGGTAATAAATATGTGACAATTATAAAGCTCTCCATGTGAGCAATAGTCGGCCCAAAGGAAGGTTATTGTTTGACAGGATTTATTGTCAATATTTGATTACTGCGCGAAGAGTACGACTTTCAAGCTGATATTTCTGGTCCAAAGACTAAATATCAGTGTTGTGCTAGGTATCTTAACATAGACCCACCACCCTTCGGATTGTTTGTTTATGTCATGTATGCATTATATGGTTTAATTATGCTTATGCATGACATGAATGTTGATTGTGAGTATGTTGTTTTATTTTGTTCTCTATTTAGTTTCTGCTACTGCTGCTTATGTTTCTGCACAAATAAGTATGACCCCAATGCTAAATGGGACGAATTTTAAGATTTGGAAAGAGAACGTGGAAATCGTTCTCGAATGTATGGACTTAGACCTCGCGCTCAGGACAGAGCGTCCCACTGCTACTACGGAAAATCAGAACACGGATAAAAGTGAGAAGTGGGACCGCTCTAACCGCATGAGTCTAATGATCATGAAACGCTCCATTCCAAAAGCGTTTCGGGGCTTTATTACTGAGAGCACTAATGCTAAGAAGGTTCTCAAATAAATTGAGCAATATAAGACTGAAAGTGCTCACTTGGCATCCACTTCTCAGAATAAGAGAAAGAAGAGAGATAAGGATACTGCAAAGGGAATTCCCAAGCAGAAGAATGTAAAGAAGTGGGATGAGGAATTCACCTGCTATTTCTGCAAGAAGGGAAAGACTCTCGTTATGGTTTGTTCTGAAGTTAATTTAGCTTTTGTACCTAAAGATACTTGGTGGGTAGATTCTAGTGCTACTACTCATATTAGTATGTCTATGCACGGTTGCCTGTGGAGCCGACCACCAAATGATGCTGAAAGATTAATCTTCGTGGGCAATGGCAAGAAAGTTCCAGTAGAACCTATCGAAACATTTAGATTATTATTAAAGACTGGTGTCTATTTAGATTTGATTGAGACTTTTGTTGCACCGCCATTTAGACAGAATCTTGTTTCTATTTCTAGTTTGGACAAATCCGGTTACTCTTGTTCCTTCAGAAATAATAAAGTTAGTATTTCTCATAATTCAAATGTTGTTGGCACTGGTTTCTTAATTGATAATCTTTATATGCTTGATATTGTTACTTCTAATAATGAAATTTTGCAGACTAGTGCATGAGGTACAAAGCAAAAATTAAATGAGAATTCTGTCACCTTATGGCACAAGCGTTTAGGTCATATCTCTAAACAGAGAATTCAGAGGCTTATGAGTGATGGAATTCTTGGTCCCCTAGATTTGACAAACTTTTAAGTCTGTGTTGAGTGCATCAAGGGGAAACAGACAAACACAAGAAAATTAGGTGCCAACAGGGCTACAGACGTCTTAGAACTTATTCATACATATATATGTGGACCATTCCCTACAGCTTCATGGAATGGTCAACAATACTTCCTTACGTTCATAGACGATTATTCAAGATACGGTTGCCTATACTTAATACATGAGAAGTCACAGTCAGTGGACGTTTTCAAGGAATTTAAAGCCGAAGTTGAACTT